GGCCCCCCGCCGCTAGCCCGCTCCGCGTGCACTCCGCACCTGAGTTTTTCACTTCAGCACTGCGCCTCCTCTGAGTCTGGGTATGATATTCTCTTTCCTCCTAGTTGTATAATTTCCACTCAGCCAGCCTCCCTGTGGTTCTGGATGATGTCCGTTCCGTCTTTTAGGTGTAATTTGAATTGGTTGTTCAAGGCAGCAATCTCTGGCGTTAACCTATGCCGCCATCTTGGTTTCTCTCCTCAAACATGGTTTTGCCCTAACCTCTATTTGGACTTCTCTCCCATTGCCCCTCTTCCTGTTGCCACTCTAGGCTTTTTCTTCCATTCAGGTATCAGTCTATCACCTCCTCAGAGGCCATGTTCATATCCAGGCCCACAATCTGAAGTAACCATCCTATCCTTTTGTATCATACCCCCCCTTTTTAAACATTGTGTTCAGCACTTAACTAATCTCTGATGTTTTTCTTGTTCACTGAGGCTTGGTTTATGGCCATGCTTTGTATGACGAGCCCAAGATTGCACATGCTGGAAAGCTGGAACTCAGATTGTTCTGAGCTGCTATTTAAAGGAATCAAGTTCATTGAGACTTTGAGACCTACACTCAGGATGAAGAGGGGAGGGACACAGAGAATTTTCCATATATGTGGGATCTGATTACCATCCCACTAAGGAAGCAGTTATAAATTTAATGCACTTTGAACTTAACATGGGTTCTAAGAGGAAATAGCTGTCTTCCCTAGAAGTCAAGAACCTAGAGGAATTCTGGAAGGGTTGTATGCATGGACAGCTGAGGAAGGTAGGTTGAATAAGTAGATAATGGAATCATTATGGAAACCAAAAGACCAATTAGACTGATAGGAACTATACCTTACTTTGGGTCTACACACCACAAGTGAGAGCCTTAAAACAGGGTTACAGAGCAGTGTTAGTGCTGATTGTGAACCCTGAAAGAAAAAACAAACAAAAAAAACCTTTAAGGCTCATGGTGGATAATTAGGCTTTAAAAAGGCAAAGCCTAGTAGCCATCTCCCACTGGGTCCTCTCACACAAACTGCCTGCCTCCACGCTGAACCTGCACTGTGTTCTGCCAGAAAGCCAGCCCTTATAAAGGAGTTTCTGGAGTCCTGTTTCAACCAATAGGACTGAGGTTACCCCTCCCAATTGGAGC